CCCCAAAACCCCAAAACCCCAAAACCCCAAAACCCCAAAACCCCTCAAATTTTAAATAAAATTGAATTGCACAAATTTAGCAAAATTTTAGTCAGCAAATGATGAAAAAGATGAAAACCTACAACGAAGACAATGTCGTCACAAAATCAAACTCAAATATAGCAAGGAGGGGCAAAGTCAAGGCGAAAAGACATGTGACTAGGAAGCAAGGTAAGACCTCTTGCAGATGAAGATATTAATATGGTTTAGCCAATCCCCAAGAAATAGCAGAACCAGCTAATTTTCGAACTTATAAGCAGAAAAAGCATGCTAAGAGGGATTACAAGGCGAAGAAAGAACGTGCCAAGTCATCAAAACTCAGGAAAGACACTTATTTCAGCAAGAAACATGAGGAATGTTATGCTAATCTTCAGGGATTGGAGTATACACCAAGTAAAAATAGCCCGCCAAAGGCCGCAGATTCGTCAATTATGTCAACAGTTGCTACTAGGAAGTTGAAAGATAGTGACTCAAGCCATACTCGCCGATATAGTTCATATGATAGGGGTAATACTCGCTTTGAAGACAGAAAAATATGCCGAGCCAGAAGACGCTACACTGAATATTGCAATGAAGCCTCCAATCGCTCAGTGAAGAGATTGCTTACAGACATTACAGAGGAAAATTACGGATCATCTTCTCAATCTGTAGTGCAAGAGAAAATTAATAGTTCTTATTCCTCTAGAACTAGCTCAGTCAGCTATTCTGGCAACACTTTTGGGAAGAGCGACCTTGAGAAGTCCAAAAGATCTACCAGAGAAGAGAGCAGAGCTAGCTCATCCTCTTGCTTTAGTTACTCAAGTAGCTCATTTGTGACTGAAAAATCTAGAGGTAAAATTTTTGGGAAGGCAAATGAGCCATTTGATTATAATAAGCGATCATCCCCCAGATTTAGCAGCGGAGTGAGCTCTGAAGATACCAAGGAAGCAAATCCCAATTACCAGTCAGCATCTGAGGCTAAAATAATCAGGAGGAAAATCAAGCAGTTGAAAGATAAAAGTATGCGCAATGGATTTGCAGATATGAAAAATCCTACAATTTTTGGAAAGACTGAAAATTTAGTAGATCCTAAGGCGAGTCTAAAATCTAGAAGAAGATCTTCTCGGCTCAAGAGAAGGAAGGTTCCCTGCTGATGGCTCAAACTTAAGGATAATCATAAGAAAAATCAAGGTCAAGCTTTTAGATGTTTTAACCAAAGAGATCTTCGTCTTACTCATGATTCTCTTAAATCAATCATTGATGCGGACCAAGATGATGATTATGCTACTGACAATGATATCCTCCGCAGATCAATTGATAAAGTAACAGAAGACCTTGATGATGCATTGAGTAGGACCAAGAAGGGTGAAAAACTACTAAGAACCCATACCCTCCAGTTAATAAAACAACATAATGCAAGGAGAAGGGAAAAGACCTTTTAAAATGGCTCTATTATTACTGCTTCTCTTCTTAATCTCTATAATCACTATTAAGCCTCACTTCTAAAAATATTTACAAGGATCTTTTCAATTACTTCTTAAGGCTTTGGGGTTTTGGGGTTTTGGGGTTTTGGGGTTTTGGGG